AAATTATATTTTTTTATGGTACTTCATCAATGTTTTTGGCTTTTCTTGAGTCATCACAACAATTCTTATCTCAGGTAGCTATTTACTGAGACATTAGACAAGGGGAAGACAAAGAAAAAAAAATACAGTCTGAATTTCAAAGCTAAAAAAAAGCTTAAAGTGAGTTTACTTTAAAGTGAATTCAGTCGCCTCACTTTATAGAAAACTGAGGCCTGGACAGGTGAAGTCACCTGTACATACTCGTTCACTTTCTCATCTATTCACTGAATGCATTATGATTAAATCTCTTCCCTATGCTGGATGCGAAGATCCAAGTCAGCCAAGAAGACAAATTCCAGTGGCTTTGCAATCAGAGAATTGGCAGCACAAAAGAAGCCACTGAGGCTGGAATGTGGATTTGCCCCCAGTGGCATGTCCTGGCTCTTCTGGGGAACTCAAGTCGCTGAAGACCAAAGAATATGGGGGACTCTATGATGTTCGGTAGGCTGTTCTAGCTCATTCTGCAGAAGCCAGTAGTCCTGTAAATTTCATAATGTACGCTTCTCTCCAGAGTGTCCAGAAATACTTTGACACTTTCCTGATGGACTCAAGTTCACTTTCATTTTCTGTCCTGTGCTGAAATAAGAAGTAAGTTTAAACTCCCCTCCCATCCAGGCTGCCACATAACATTGAGCAGAGTTCCCTGTCCTATACAGTAGGAGTTTGGGGGAGAATGGATACATGTATATGTATGGCTGAGTCTCTTTGCTGTGTACCTGAAACTATCACAACAATGTTAATCGGCTATACTCCAATATAAAATAAAGAGTTAAAAAAAAAGAGAAGTAAGTTTAAGCAATGGGAGATAAGCTCTCTCCTTGCAAATAGGTGCCTATGACACTACTAAAAAAATCTGGTAAAGCAATTATACTCTAATAAAGATGTTTAAAAAAAGAATCTGCGTAGCAAGCTTGATGCTAATAGCTTTCAGTTATGCTCGCCTAATGACGCCCAAGCTCTTACAAATTCATTATGAGCCCTCTCTGCTTCCCTTTTATTACTATGCTGTCATTTTTTTAAAAATTAGTAATGCTTTGGATTCAACATATAACTTGATGGGTATCATCAAAGGAACACTCGTAAAAAGTTCTTTTCTCAACAAGGTCAAGTTTGTTCCCATTATTGTTTATAATAGCTTTCATGTTCCTCTGAATTTTGTTTCATTTTCTTAAAATCTATGAAAAGTTGTATTTTTATGCTCTTGGATTAATTATAATTACATCACGGGTACCAGTACTTAGTTGTGCATTTAATCTAGGCTGGGGATTTTGTGTTTCTCTATATCTCACACAGTGCTGAAAATAATTCTTTGGTGGGATAAGAAGATAGAGCACATGTGGATACTTAAGGAGGTATTGATGGAGTCATGGAGTAGTATCTTCCTATTAGCTAAATCTAACAGATTTAATGTTTGCTTTTTTAAAAAAGACCGTTTCCTGAACTCACCTTGTGTTTTTCACTGTTTGTAACAGAATCTCAGCGACTTTGTCCAGACTCTCCCTCACCGATGTATGTTACTGATGAGAGGCATCCCAGCCCAGCTTCGGGCCTCACTCACCCTGGTCATCTCAGGGTGTTGATACCTGCATCGTCTTCCAGTGGCCGAGCCCACAGTGCTTTCATCTTCCTCTGGGTGTAATGCATAGCCATCCACATGCATACTCAGTCTGTGCTTTGAGGCATAGGAAATGGAATTTTAAAATGCAATGATCCATTCCCACAAGAAAAGGGTTTAAAGTATCTACCCTGATTGTCTCTCTGGTTAATACAGAGACGCAGTGCATTAACTAAAGCCTGAGAATGGAGCCCATTTCTACTATTAACCATTTATTAAGTCAACAAGTAACTAATGACGACACTCTTCTTTCTAATGTGCAGCAGTTTTATGCATTTAGCGGTATTATTCTTTGAACAGATGTGTCTTTTCAAAGCTGTCTTCCTTTCCTAGGAACAGAGGATTTCTTAATTGTATGCTTGTAAGCTGCTTCAAAAGGTGTCTCTGAACACACCACTGAGATCCTTCCTTACAGAGGGCCCAGTGATATGCAAACCAATCCATCATCAGGATGTGAACCCAATTAGCTCGTATTCTTTTGCTAAACGTACTCCTCAGCCAATGCAGTGAGCCTCAATGCTTTGATTTGGAAGCCTTAGAAATACCTGGGAGTTATTTGAATGTGGCAGTATCAGAACTACAAAAGATAAGCAGGGAGCATTTCACAGCCCGTCAGCAAACTGTAGGATTTGAGAGCAGACACCCAGGGCTGTATCAAATTCCCTCCACGTTAATGTTTTGAATAACCAAGACGTTAGCCAGGTTTTTGCTCAGCACTTCCCTTTATCGAAAAAAAGGAGCATTCACAAAGAATCAATATCTAAAGCTCATCAGGCAACTGCAATTACTTTTATGATGTCCTCAGTGCCGAGCTTTAACAAAGAAAGCCTCGCTTCTATACTCCGAAAGGCACCGAGAGATGCTGGCAACCACATTGATAGCACTTTTTTCTCAAGAAGTGTAATAAGCTCTTGGGTCACCTGCAAAATATGCTTACGTTCTTTCCCTGAAGGAGAGTTACTGTGAGGTATCAAGTGACTGAAAAAGCGAGAAGAAGAAATAAAATGATAGCTCAGCAGGAAAAGCGTGATTGTGGTGTTCCAGCCTGCGTCTCCGCCAGAGCAAAGGTCATGGAAATTCAGCGTGAGCCCAAGTGGGTCTTCAGCAGCAGACACCATGAGCACGATCCTGGCACAAGTGGTGTTTGTGTGACAGCTGCATATATGGGCTCCAGCTCCAGCCTCAGTCCTGCTCTGCAGAGGAAGGTGCGTCCCACAATTTCCCACTGAGTCATGAGATCAAGTAAGAATTCCTCTGATGTCTTTAAATAGTCTTGGCTCCAGCAAGCAAACGTGGGTGTGGTTACTGAGTGTGCCTGTGTGTGCCTGGCGGGGATAAGCAGGTCTCCGGTTGCTGCTGGAAGGGGCTGTGGAGGGGGCTGTGGAGGGGACTGCAGTTGCCTCCCAGTGACATTGGTAAGATCTGTTTGCAGTGGTTCAACACAAGAGCTCGTGCACTAAGGTGCTCATGGAACGATGGTGTCTGATGGTAAAGGCGGGAATTGGCTGCCTTCTTTGCTGGATGGGAAATTGATGTTGGGGTCTGTTGGAAGAATCATTTGTCCTGTGAATAAGTTACATGGACCACCACCAGCCCCCGCCCCCCGCCCGTCTTGAGCAGCCCTTAGAAGACGTAAGACGGCAGTCCCCCATACTAAAGCTGCCTGAGTGAACCTGAGAATGAGCCTCCCGCTGCCCTAGGCTTTGTTGCCCTTCCCCACATGGGGTGAAGGCAGAAGGGGGAATTAGGGTGAGACGACTGCTAGAATGGGGGTTTGACTGATTCATCCTGCTCGTGTCCTTTGGTTTCTGAAACCCGGGACTCAGTCTGCTCTACGTCATCTAGTGTGTTATCTTTGCTTCAGTCCTTTCTCTTTAGTGGGGATCACAACTTGCCACATTGTGGAAACCCACGTGGGTCTGTCTCTTTCACCAGACTTTGAGCTCCTTGGTAGAAGGAGCTGAGCGCTATTCCTCTCGAGGGAAGGTGCTAATAAATATAAATTTAACTGAATTAAACTAAGGGTAGTAAGAAGTTAGCTAAATCCTAGCAGCAACCCCCATTCCTGTCTTGCTCTTATTTGTTGTGTCCTGTAAACAAACGTGCCAAGAAACCCGAATGCTTGGACTTCCACTGATCTGAAGGTACTGTAGGTTCACTGCCACCTTTTCATTCTAATTCTTGAACTGTCACCACATAGTGATGTCTCAGGGGCTCTTGGCTGCTGTGACAACAGTGAGGTTCAGTGACTCTCGTGGCAGGAGCTCTGTAATTCCTCGTCCTGATTCTGTGTTTAACTGACAGCTGTGTACTCTCAGAATTAAAAACAAAACAAACCATATTTTTACAGATCCTTTTGTCTAAAGAGTTTTGCGTGTTGCTCAACTCATTTTTAAATGTCCATATGGGAAAGCCAAGTGGCAAATATCAACCTTCTCTGAATGTGAAAAAGGTAATGACTTTTTTGGGTGGCCTGGCTTTGCCTTACCTCCTCCTTCCTGCCTTCTGGCCATTTTTCCCCCTATTATTAGCTCATCTCTGAGAAGGCAAATGTATACGGGAGGAATAATGAAATTATTAAAGGATAATGTAACCACTGGCAAGCGTCTCTAGAAAAGCTCAAGGATGTGACCGTGAGTGCAAGAGGAGGATTGGGAAAGAAGGTGGACACTGAATGTTAGCTTTGGTTTGTATTTATTCTCTGAAAGCCATCACTCTGTACCCCTGTCACGCACCACCAGACGTCAGTATGAGAGGCTGGATTGTTACCCAACAGTCATTCTGGAGGCAAAGTTCCTGTGGCTGTTTCCCCCCCCCCCGGGACTCGTGGGGAAGCTCTGGCTGATTTGGTCATTGCCGGGAGGGCAGGGCCCCAGCTTGCTCTTTGGTCCCAAGTGATGCTTGACGGCGGCTTGAGGTGGGAGCATGTCTTGCCATTGCTACCCACGTTGCCAGTTCAGGGGCTGAAACCAGATGGTGTCAATGCCTCCTATATCGTACCTGGCCCACTGTACATACTTAACAAATATTTCACTTTTGATTGACTTTGAATCAGACCTGCTGTCCTCCCTTCCAAAGGCTGAATCCCACCACTCCCCAGAAGAATCAGAATTGTTTCTCTTTGGGGAAAACCCAAGTCCTCTTTCAATTAATGTTTAGAAGGAGATGAACATAGTATTATGCGGGTTATTAAGAACATACAGAGCTAAAAGCAAACACCTCCTTAGAAGGGGCGTTCAGTGTGATTTAGCAAATAATAGCACAAGCATCGACCCACAGAAACAGAGGAGAAGGTTTGGACCAGGAAAGTACCCGGCTAAGTCTGTCGGTGTCTCCGGCGCCCACGTCAGGTGTGTTTTTTGTCCTTCAGGTAACTAAAGAGCATCTCCAGACCCCCCTCCAGCAGCTCGGGCAGAGGTTTGGATAAAGGGTTGTGGGAAATGTGAAGCCCTTTGTCCATGGGGTTCCAAGCGATCCTGGACAGTCTGCACAGCAGGTAGAGCTCCTCGGGGAGGGTCTGGATGTCATTGTTGTTCAAGTTCAGCAGCTCCAGGCCCGTGAGCAGGCAGAGGGAGCGGGGGAAGGTGTGGATATTGTTACTCTCGGCAATGAAGATCTGCAGGCTGGCCAGGCACTGGATGCTCTCGGCAATGTTCTCCAGGCGGTTGGAGCCCACGTGCAGGAAGTCCAGCTCCCTGAGCGAGAACACGCAGACAGGGATGTGCGCAAAGCGGTTGTGGCTGAGGTTCAGCTTGCGCAGCCGGGAGAGGTCGGCGAGGCTGGCGGGGAGCTGGGACAGGAAGTTGTGCGACAGGCTCAGGACCTCCAGGTTCCGGCAGGCGCTCAGCTCTGCCGGCAGCTCCGTCAGGCAGTTCATGTGCACAAACAGGACCTTGAGGCTCTGGAGGAGGCTGACCTCCCGGGGCAGGGTCTTCAGGCGGTTCCCGCACAAGTTCAAGACCACCAGCCGTGTCAGCTTCCCCACCTCGGGCGGGAGGGCCCGGAGCTGGTTGTGGGACAGGTTGAGCTTCTGCACCTCTGACAGGCTCCACAGGAAGTCGGGAGCATCTGTCATGCCCTTGGTGACCAGGCTGAAACTGACGTGCCGCAGGCCCCGCTTCAGCAGACACCGCAGGTCCCTCCCCGAGAGCAGAGCATCGTCCCACGGGGAGAACTTCTGCCTCCCCCGCAGGACCCCCCGCCCCGGGAGGCCCTTGTCCTTGCAGCGGGCACCAGACTGCCTGGCCCCCATTTACCTGCCTTCCTCGTGCCCCTCTGTCGCCGCCGGTAGGGATGGGCTCCCGGCCCAGCTGCTGAAGCCCGGCAGGGAGCCGATCGGGTGATGGGAGCCGTGGCCGGTGGTGCCGCAGGGTGAGTAGGATTTGCGGGGAGGTCCCAGATCCCCAGCTCTCAGGGTCCCAGATGCGTAGCCGCGCCGCCGAGAGCCGCCCGTCTTCCAGGCTGGGTTGAAGCGGCTTCTCTCTCGGAGCAGCCGGGCTGTAATGATACCCTTGTCCCTGAGGCTGCAGAACTGAACCTCTCGGGTCCCTCTGAACACCACGGGCCAGCTGTCACTGTCATTCTGCCCGCACTTTATTGGTCTGGTGTGTGCAAACAGGTCAAGGGGAGGCCGTGTCTGACTTTCTTGTCTCCGCTTTTCTGGGTGTCACAGCTGAGCAGGGCGATTAACCAGCCCATCTCCGAAAAGAAGCCAAGGGCAAAAACAAAGCCAGGGTGTCTGCAGGTCTCAGGCTTATCCGGACCGTGGAGCGGAGCCGGGCTGAATGTGAGTCGCAGAGTTATGTTCCCAAAGTTAAGGATCGGCAGACGTAACATACATACCGATCCAAACCGCAGTGAATCACGTCGTTGTGAAAAAGTAACAGAAGGAGCCGAGACACCTGGAATCCTCCAGGACAGGGTTTTACACGGTACTGGTCAGAGGTGATTCCTTGAGGAGAGGGTGAAGGGGTCTTGACCACACTCCCATTTTCTCCCAGAGAAGCTCTGGGGTCCTCTGTTCTACAGAGAGCTTCTGGGTTTGGTAGGGTGCTCTGTAAATGTTTTGGACAGCCCTTGACTGGCCACTTAGTAAGGAAAGCACGGTGCCTATTGTCCTGGAGAGTAGTCTGGAGAGGCCTCCCTGGGCACACACCTCTCTCCATCTCTCTCTCTCCATCTCTCTCACTGAACAAGTTAACTTACATCCTAAGTAGGTAGTCAGTTGTTGGTGTCATGGGCTGAACTGTGCCCCTGCTCCCAAATTTCCAACGATGAAATCCTAACTTCCAGTAACTCAGAATGTGACCGTGTTTGGAGACAAGGACACATGAGGACACAGGAAGAAGACGGCCATCTGCAAGCCAAGGAGAGAGGCCTCAGAAGCAACCTACCTGCCAACACCTTCTCTTAGATTTGCAGCCTCCAGAATTGTGGAAAATAAACTTCTGCTGTTTAAGCTCCCCCACCGGCCAAGTCTATGGAGCTTTGTGTGACGGCCCTGGCAAACTCACCCAGCTGGGGCACAGGTGGACACATCTGCATAGGTGAAATAATCCTAAAAATAAGTTGTGGTTAAGGGGAGAAGAGATATTGAGGTTGACGGCCCAGGTTCTGAGAAAAGGGCGTATGGGCTTTGCAAGGGCTGCCTTGGCCCACAGGCCTGCGGCTTTTGCTGGCACAGCCGTGGCATAGCAGTTGGGCCTCCTGGACAGCAGTGCTGGTCCTGTGACTGTGGTCTCAGAACAGTCATCACCAAGCCAGGACCTTGAGCTGGGCTCTGGCTGGGTGCCGCTCTGGGGAAGCTGCAGGCCTATCCACTGAGGTGGAGAGGCAGGGAGTGTAAAACAGTGCCAGGCCATCTCTGCCACACTTGGCGTTTGAGAGCGCTCTGACCCCTTTCAACTGATTAAG